TGCAACAAACGCCTCTCAGGTTTACTCTCTACTAAATTTTAAAGCAGCTGTCAAGAAGTGTCTACAAACGTTGTATAAGAGCTTTCACCAAAATAATAAAGCTTGAGTTTAAATATGTATCTATAAACGTTGTATAAAAGTTGCTTCTACTCCTATACCGCGTATACATATAATGCTGTAGTTGAACAGGTTCTCCAAACCAGTGTAAACAAGAGTTTTACAGAAGTTGTAATAAACAAATTGTACAGTTATTATTCAGCATGCAGTTGAAAAAAAACACAATGGAAGCGTTTCTTCAACAAGAAATTGATTTAGGGAAAACGTTTTACTGAATACGATGGACAACACCTTTGTGTTGCAGTTGTATAGGTTCTCCAAACCAGTGTAAACAAGGGTTTTATAAAAGTTGTGGTGAACACATTGTGCAATTATTATTCAACATGCAGCTGAACAAAATCAAAACGAAAGCGTTTCTTCAACTGGAAATTGTTACTTGGGACGGCCGGCTCGTGAAATTGGAAAAATTCCATACTGCAGTCAAGGACCAAACAATATTATCTGGCCAAACGTAGGCCATAATCGCAAAGGAGTTTTCCCTTCTCGGCTTGACCAAGGTGGCCTTGCCACGGACGGCCGATCGTGCCAACGAAAGACGACGCCTGCCATCCTATCGTCCAGCAACGCCCGCTGGCCCGTCATCCGCTCGCTTCGCCAATCTGGCGAGAGTTCCGGCCGCACAGTAGGACATTGCACAGTAGGTTTGCTAAAAGCGAAGACAACAAATCAAGAAGACTGACAACTCTACCATTTTCTCATACAAACGCTTTGATACAGGTACAATCGCGCCATCTGCCGCTCAAAGGTAAATGCTTCGAACGAATTTGATAGCAAAGATTACATCCTCAGAAGAAGGGTTTGTGTATTTGCTCATTTTTCTATGCGTTGCTTTCACCTTCACTCAAGCGCAGCGCCATTGTATCTGTCGCTTGGATTCTGGTAAAGTTGCAAGTCTTTTTGATTTGTTGTCTTTGCTAAAAGGCAAATCTATATGACTATCAAATGATTGGGATAGATCTGTTTACAATCTTCAAACGTCAAAAATCAAAGGAGGCTATTCCAATAAGATAAAAATGTTTTCCTATCAACAAACGTAAAAAATAGTTAAAAGCAACTTCAATAAAATATACATGCTTATCTTATAAGACATATCTTTAAGTGAGCAATATTCATCATGAACACAGGTTTATTTCACTGGATTTTTTTATAGTGCTAACTTTATATGGATTTCCATTAGTTTCTAGATGTCTGTTCCCACCCATGACATAGTAACAGTTTTCACCATAATATGTATCAGACAATATTCATATACATCTTACCCATCGCTAACCACGTTCAAGGCAAAGGAATATCATGTACTAAGTATGTGAAATTATGATTGAAATCATTCCATACTGCAGTCATAGTTTTTAAGTGATAATCCAATGGAATCTATCAATCATCACATAGAATAAATAAATCTTCTGACGTTGCTATGTTATAAGATGGATCCAATAAATCGTACATGTCGATTCGTGTCACTAAATTGATAGAGAAAATTTTATACAGTTTTGGTAAAATATTACCTCAACCTTAGGGTGGCCGTTTTACCCCTCGAAGACCACACAGCAGTAGGGAACTAATCCACTCTTCCGAAATTTGGAGTCCTATTGTAACTTGATAAAATAATTTCCAGATCTACATACTCGGCCATTGACAAACAACTAGCGAGATTGGTTTTCACCAGCTTATGACGGAGGCCGATCCGCCCAAAGCCATACAGTAAAAGTATGGACGTCTGTCAAAAGTTGTTCCAATCAAACCGTCAAAATGCACCGCTTTGCGCGATTGGATCAGCTTTTTTCAGTTTTGTGGTGACAGTCGTCCATACTTTAATTAGAGGGCTTTAGATCCGCCTAGTTAGACCGGAATCCTCGAACGCTTTTTCCAGGTTCTCTTAGACCTTTCTCGTTGTGGTTGCCTCCTTGACATGGACTTAGTTGATTGGATCAAGGTGTAACATTAGCAGGAACCACAGCTTCGTCCGTTCTGTAAGAATTTTGCACCGGCTTGACGGCTTCCGCTTCACCTAAGGTTTGTTCTTAAATTTAAATAATTCTGCATTACTTTTAAATGATAAGTAATATGTTAGGAGTATGATAAAGCTCGATTCAAAGTAAATCTGGACGCACGGTTTAATACACCACTGCGCCCCTGGTGGTTGGAACAAAAAAACGTTTGACAGGCATTTGTTGATGTTTCATTGACGAAGAAATTGGTGAAAAGTTTTTCTCGATTGATCGACGCATCCCAAAATTACGGATCATGGAACTTGAGAAAAGAAAATTAATTGTGCACAAACATCTAGAGAACCCTTAGCGGCGCCGGTGGTGTAGTGGTAAGCGTGATTACCTCTCACCCCAGCAGGCCTGGGTTCAATCCCAGTCGGCGCCGCCGGGATGTTCTGAGGCATAACATCTCTGATCACGCCTTCCTTCGGAAGGGAAGTAAAGCCGTTGGTCCCCGGTTCATGAGTTGATGGGTCAATAGGTAGGGTCCAGGTGTGGCAGCTGCCTTCCTGACGTCGGTAGCATTGGTGCTCAGCACGGAAAACAAGATCGACGGAAAACAAATCAAAGAAAAAAAAAATCTAGAGAACCCTTCGTGGTCTGCCTTAAAAATAGCAAAAGTGTTGAAATTCCCAAAGTCAACGGTGAGTCTTGTAATCAAACGTTACAAGGATACTCTGAGTGTGGATAGAGCACAGCGCATCTATCATAAAAGTGACAAAGAGCTGAGGAGAAAGGTGTTGAGGTACGTGAAAAGCAACCTAGGTGTCTCCATACGTGATTTGGCAAAGAAATACGATTCCAACTTTTCCACCGTGCGTAACATCCTTTCAATAGAAGGATATAAGTCTTTTTGTGCCAGTAAACATCCAAATCGCTCCCATGGAACAAAATTTAGTGGCCAAAAAGCGAACACGATTACTATATACGAACACGATTACTATATACGAACGAGTTTTGACGAAATTTGATGGCTGTATTTTAATGGATGACGGAACATATGTCAAAATGGATTATAAAAAAAGTCCCTGGATGAAAATTTTACCTGGCAACTGGTCGTGGGGATGTCCCTTCCAGTTATAAATTTGATAAGTTTGCTCGGAATCTAATGATTTGGCAAGGAATCTGCAGTTGTGGCCTTAAAACCAAGGTTTTCATCACATCTCACACAAAGAGTGTCTGAAAAAGTGGTTTTTAATCTTCATTCGGCAACACAAAACCAACGTTATGTTTTGGCCGGATCTAGCCAGCTGCCACTACTCTAAGGAGGTACTAGAATGGTATGCTGCAAACAATGTTAATTTCGTCGCCAATGAGATTAATCCTCCGAATTACCCTGAGTTCAGACTGATCGAAAAATATTGGGCAATTGTCAAGCGAAAACTTCGAGGATGCGGTAAAGAAGTGACAAATGCACAACAAATGCGTTTCAAGTGTAATAAGTTCGCCGGTACAGTGTCACCAGTGACTGTGCAGATCATCATGGCATCGATCACTAGTAAAGTGCGACAATTCGTTCGAAACGGTGAAATGTAATAACTTCTTAAATATCGTTTGAAAGCTGAATAAATACCCTTTTGTTTGATGTTTTGATCAACCGTGTATGTTGTTTAGTTCTTGAGTTATGATCACTTGAATGCGTCAAAATTTACTTTGAATCGGGCTTTAGAAAAGTGAGTGTGTTAAATCTGAGTAGTTAGATATGATATGGGGATTGTCTCATCTCACTTCTCACTCAGGGATTTTAATGATTTCCAATATTTTACAGACAACCGGAAACCACCATCTAGAAATCTAAACTGACCTTAGAAAAGAGATCTATCATCCACTCATTACGTTCATTCCCCTTTGTGCACAACCAAACTCGTACATGTTCATCAGCTTTAAAACAATTTTTTTGTGTTGTATTACCATATTTTAATCACATCCCATTCAAAACATTAGTGTCGAGGAAATTTTGTTGGATGAAATGTATGTATTCTAACCCCAAGCTCCTCCCCTTTTCCTATCCTTCGACAATGTACCCCTCTAACCTCGGATAAGCCGCGAGTATTCGGCCCAACTCCTCCTAGACATAGAATTAAGTGAATTTTGTTTGAAACAATAACAATGAATAATCGGCTCGGTAAAGAAAACGCGATTGAGCCTTACAAATAAATGAACTAGATAAAAAAAATATGCATGAAGTGTCGTTCCGATTAGCGGGGGTCCACGGTATTTTGATCAATAGAGTTCGCTATAAAACTCACTGAAGTGGCCAATTACCACTCTTTTTTTTTATCTATTTAGATTATTTAGAAGGCTCAATTGCGTTAGCTTTACTGAGCCGAATATTCATTGTTCATTGCTTGTAACAAAATTCACTTATTTCTATGTCTAGTAGGGGTTGGGCCGAATACTCGAGGCTTACCCGAGGTTATAGGGGTACATTGTTGAAGGATAGGTTCAGGGGAGGAGCTAAGGGGTGGGGTTTCGTTGTCTCATCAGAGCGTTGTCGCCAGTGCCACCTTGGCAACGGTTCATATGAAACTGAAAACTGAATCGCGACAATCTCACTAATGAGACTAATCACTCATCACACAAATTACAATGCATTGGAAACGGAAATAATTTGGAACTTTTTAGATTTTTACTTATACCATAATCAAAGATCTCAGTTCACGAGCAATTTGATTGGATTTTTATCTAATAAAATACATATTCATAATTTGGCCTACTAAATAAAGACAACCAATAGTCCAACATATTCTTAACTATGACCTTTCAATCATTAACATGTGTTCGTTTCTTCTACTTTCACAGGCTGTTAAACAATCCAAACTCCGAACTTCTGCGCCCTCTTGTGGCAGTGATTATGCAAATTCATATCAACACGGTGCAGTGTTTGCTGGCGTCATGGTCCTAAGCACTGAGTGGTCTCAGGTGGAGATAATCGATCTCGTCAACGATGGCAACGGGCTCGGATTTATGCTCGTTGGGGGCCGCAGCACGGGTGTGGTCATAAAAGCGTTGATTCCCGGATCGGTGGCCGAGCGCGATGGTCGACTGCAGAGCGGTGACCATGTGCTCCAAATTGGCGACGTTAACCTGCGCGGTTTTAGTTCGGAGCAGGTGGCAACGGTGTTACGACAATCTGGCCAACAGGTACGGTTGATAGTGGCCCGGCCGGTGGAACCTACCTCTCCAGATTATCAAGCCTTAGCCAGCCATGCACCGATCATTCCTACCAAAATGCTTACCGATCCAGAGGAACTCGACCGGACCCTGCTGCAGACGGCCGGCTATACATCCGGAGCATTCCTGCAGTCGCCCGTTGAGGAAGCCGAAGAGCTTTGTCCGACCCACATCGAGGTGGTCGCCGTGAACAATACAATAAATATCGATAATAATAGCCTAGCTTTAATTTCTCCTTCGTCGATTTCGATTCCACAAGTGCTTAGTCAACCATTGTTGGAAGCGGTTCTTCCATCACCAGATCCGCTGGATTATATGGATCTTCCGGAGACGCCCGAGACGGAAACCTACGAGGTGGAGTTGAGAAAAAATGTTTACGGCTTGGGAATAACCGTGGCCGGCTACGTATGTGAAGAGGAAGATCTTTCGGGAATCTTTGTGAAGAGTATAATCGAGGGAAGTGCTGCGGAGATGAGTGGAATGATTCAGATTAACGATCGTATCGTGGCTGTGGATGGAAAATCGCTCAGTCGAGTTACAAACCATCAGGCGGTGGAAATTTTGCGAAATACGGATATTGCGGTGAAATTGACCCTGGAGAGATTCCTACGGGGCAGAAAGTACGAACACCTGCAGGTGGCTCTGATCGATACAAGTTCGGCAAGTGCTGCCGCCACCAGTAATCCACAGCTATCGCATTGTAATCAGAGGTGTTCCATGATACAGTCCCCATCGGTGACGACGCTATCGATATGTGCGGCTAAATCGGACGCCGATTCCATGGTAACCGAGTGCGGTGAGTGCGGAATCGATCCGGAAATGGAATCGGCGACTACGTTCGATTCGAATGTGTTTCTGCTGGAAAATGGTGACTGTAGCGAAAACGGTCTGTATGAAAACGGTGCTGTGCTGTCTGCGATGGCGGCATCGGCTGCTACGACGCCACTCAGAGAAGATCTGGAGCTAGTGTTTGACTCCCGCGGGGAAGAAGTTCGAAGTGCTTCTCAGCTAGTTACGCCGATAGTGGAAATCGATCCGGTGATTGAATTGTGGCAACGACAGATGGGAAACAGTCTGGTTATATTTGCTGATATTCAGAAGTTATCGGGATTGGGAATCAGTTTGGAAGGCACGGTGGAAGTGGAAGGGGGAGTGGAGGTTCGCCCTCATCATTATATACGGTCGATCTTGGAAGATGGTCCCGTAGGGCGGAACGGGACATTGAAGCCTGGTGATGAATTGCTGCAAGTGAACGAACATCGTCTGCAGGGTTTAAAACATATCGAAGTGGTTAAGATTCTTAAAGAACTACCCTCAAAAGTGCGAGTGATCTGTGCACGCGGATCATCAGCTCCTACTGTGATCAATACATCTCAAAATGCGGAAGCATTTGAAGCACGTAGTCTGCTCGCCGGTGGATTGCAAAGTTTACAAAGTTTGCAAGGTATTCTTACGAAAGCTCAGTCGGAAAGTTCGCTGTATACCTCGAGTACGGCGACCTTGACGGATCAACAACGGTCCAAGTCCGTCGAACAAGTGTCTGGCCTAGCACTGTGGACCAACGAGATAATTTATTGCAACATCGAAAAAACGGAACGTGGCTTCGGTTTCTCAATCTTGGACTATCAAGATCCGCTGGACACCGAAGGAACAGTCATCGTGGTCCGTGGGCTGATACCAGGCGGATCAGCTGAAGCAACCAGTTTTATCTTCCCCGGTGACCGGCTCGTTTCGGTCAACGAGCATAGTCTTCAAGGTGCCACGCTGGACCAAGCGGTGAGTATATTGAAAGGAATACCTTTGGGAACGGCACGTATCGGTCTTTGCCGGCCACTGTCCACGTCGGATAACAATCTATCGTCCACACCGGAAACTCCCACCACCTAACTACGAATAATTGATCTGTTTTTCGAGCTTGACATCTAATCATCGGTAGCAAGACTCGGTACATTGACTAAAAGCAGATCAGTTCAGTTCATTAACCAGTTAGTTTTACCATGCAATCAGTTGGCGATTATTGTATGATCATTGAGTACATCGGCGTGTGCGGCATAAAGTTTACTATGAACTTAAAGTGAATCATCAGTTGATATGCCTTTAGTTATTGAAGGATAATCACGGCGAATTATTGCTAGGTTGATTTAAACTGCATCACAAGATGAACGGCATAAGAGGCAATGCAGAGTACTAGGGAACATTCATACTGATAATCTTTGTTTTAAGAACTGCGGATGGCTGTTGTGCTTGGATAAAGCGGACAGTATAGTAGTGTTGCTGGAAGATGGCAGAAGGAATGAAGCATATATAGTAGGCACAAAAGACAACAGTAGTGTAGATAAATAAATTTTAGCGCAACCAAACAACACGACAGAATTAAAAATATATCCAATGAGCACAATGCAGGAGTATTAAAAGCACCTAAAGAAAAAGCACGGGATTAAAACCGACCGGCCTGGGCTAGGGTTGTTCATTCTTTTGGATTGGAAGATTGACAACTTTGTAAATAATATTAGTTATATGTTATATGTTAAACTTGAACTGCTGTCAAATTACTGCTCGAATGACGACCAATAGTTAATACAATTTATTTATTAAGAATCGTTTAATTCAAAAAAAATATCATTGTTTCGTTTTTGTACGTTGTTAAAATTTTAATGTTCCTGAGCATCACTTGGAAGCGAAAAAAAGCACCACCTACATTGTCGAGAAAATGTCCTTTCAGCGTTTTGAATTTCGAGAAAACCAAACAAGGTAGAATGAGCAACCCTCTCTCAGTTTTCCACCAACCAAAAACACAATTAGCAGCAGAAAACAGCACAACAAAAGCGCTCTTGTCGGGAACAAAGTGATTAAGAAAAACAATAAAATAACCAAGACACATAAATAGCTTGCGATCTGAACCCACCCACAGTGGAGAAAAACACTTGCTGCAAAATTTTATAGCGCCTACTCGAGATAAGCAGGAAAACTGCTAAGAACCAAGCACATCCAGAGATCCACCGCTATCTCCATAACGCAAACACTTGTGTATATTGAAAAGGGGGGAAAAGTGCGGTAGATAAGGCTTTTATAAATCATAAGCGAAGCAGATGATTTAAAACCAGTAACACGGCAACACAACAAAGTTCTCATTTTTGCAATAGGTTCACACAAAGATTTGCCGAAGAACAAAAAAAACCTCAGAAGCTCGTTAGAAACATAAATCCTCGAACGACTTCCAGGTTCTTACAACTTCACCGGCCATAGCGAAAATGGAAAATAATATCGAATCAGGAAAATTCACCAGCTCAGTCCCGTTGCCACTCAGTATCTTCGTTTTCGCTGTTTAACCGAATGGTCTTTAAAGAGGGGAAAAGCATCATTGCCGTTTCAAATACATATACCTACAGATTGAGTCTTCAGCTTCAGTTTCCGATGCCGAGTGCGAGTCGGAGCAGAGAAACCATTTCGAGTCGAACTGAAACCGTACGCAATTTCTACCCTCTCAAGCCGCCCCATACCTACTTTTAAATAAAATCGGTATGTTGTTCGATTACGAACAGATCAACAGATTGCACGCATTTTGGTGCCTTACTTGCTTTTTCCATCACGGTGCGTTCAAGCTGTCACAGCGCTGCGGATCGTTTCTGCGACTCTGGAAAATTTCACCGAATCATTTCAAACCATTAGAACGCAACGCCCAGGTGACGATGGAGAGTAAAATGTGATTTCCAAAAGGAAGAGATTTTCGCTTTTTATTAGTTGGACTTATGACCTCGTTTGAAATTGTTAGTTATTCTGCTTTTAGATGCTAATGAAATGAGTGTCTGGAGTCTGGCATTAGATATTTATATTTATGTTCTGAATATTTCAAGTGATAATGATAACTAAATAAGCTCTTACTTGTTTCATAGTTCCATATTTCGTCTTGTTGAGCGTAATACGCATTTGTCTAATGTATGCAATTTGTTTGTTCTGTTGGGTTTAATAAGTTCCTGAAGGAACTTATGTCTGCTCTCATCTTAGTGTTCGTGTAGTTGTTTGTATGCTGGGACACAAACGCGAGGAAATGAATATTTGAATGGTGCAAAGCTGTCACATTCAGGATGAAGTTTAATTTTTTTACACTTTTTAAGTGAGTGAGAGTGGGCCCAAGTAACCATCAAGCCATTTCCCAAAAATCACCCTTTTTACAATATACAGTTAATTTAGGGCTACACAACTTTATTTTTGGGGTTCCACTATCCGACGGGCGTTAGCCAACGGAAGGATATTCCAAAAACTACAAGGGACAGCCCTATGGGGTTGTACGCAATGGCAATGTAGGACTACGTGGTCTTATATAATAAATCTTATTTATTAACTGCAGTATGAGCTTGTGTTTTGTATGGAAATAGGAATTTGAGCGGGGTTATCTCTGTTTATACTCTATAGTATGATGCGCTTGACATAGATGGCCCACAGCGACTCACAAAGAGCTACTGATTTCGATCACTAGAACATAGAATCCGATCAACGGTTGAGGCCAGCCTTGATAGCTAGCTGCTTTCGGGGAGCCTTTCGTTGTGTACTGGAGAACACCACCACTCACCGCGCGGTGATTGAAGAAACACAGTTTGGTGAGACCGGATGAAATTCAACTTTGAAATCTGTGTTAGGGAAATCGCTTTTCGCAAGCAATCGGTGATAATTTTAATTATCATAGCAACAGTTGCACATTCGTGCAATTTTCAATAGTGACATTTCTAAAAATTATAAAGTCTTAAATTTAATAGATGCGTAGAATTCTGATCTATTGGTGGTAAAATTATTTAAATCGGTCCAGAGGCAGCTGAGTAACTAACGTTCAAAATCTTTCATAATTTTGTTACATCTTCCATTTTCAGTTTTCACAAAGTGTACCCCCATATAGAAATTACAGGCGTAGTCCTACGTCAAAAAAAGGGGAGGCGTTTGGTATTCCTCTATGCGATCTGATGTCCTTATAGATTATTAGGGTAAGTCCATAGCTATTTCGACGTGCACAGTCGGCTTAGTCAGTAGTCCTTTTCAATCGTAATTGAATCGACACCAATCATCCTGCGTTGGAAGTTTCCATCAACCTATCTGTTCTTGTTCGCTACGATAACCCCCCTGTTGATGTACATGAGCTTGACTTTCGTAGAGCAGTTCCTTGACACGTGTTCATCTATTGATGAAGCCGTCAACTACTTCGCTGAGGTCGTTGGCCGAGCAATAACTGATTCTGTCCCATTGAGGAGACCCTCTCCCAAACCCGTATGGTCCAATGCTCGACTACGAAATTTGAAGCGTCTGAGATCGAAGGCCCTCCGTAAATACTGTCGTGCTCGTAACCCATTCACCAAACGATTATTTTCAACAACGAGCAACGAATATCGCACATATAACCGCACTCTTTACAAGAGCTACACTAGGCGTGTGCAGGCTAATTTACGCCTTAATCCCAAGGAGTTCTGATCATTCGTGAATACCAAACGAAACGAGGAGGGGCTACCAGTCGAAATACACCTGGGTGATAGAATCGCCAGCAATTCCCTTGAGAAATGCAATCTTCTGGCAGAACATTTCAAAAGCATTTTCAATGACACTACGACTTCGTTGTCCCAAGTTGCTGAAGCGGTGAGGGACACTCCCAGTGATGCTTTCAATTTTTCGATTACCTTGGTTACAATCAAGAAGCTGAAATTTTCTAATGCTGCTGGCCTTGACGAGATCCCCTCAAGCATCCTGAAGCTATGCTGTTCAGAGCTTACAACACCGCTTTCGAAGCTGTTCAATATTTCATTACAGCAGGGGGAGTTCCCTACGCGTTGGAAATCGTCATTCATGTTCCCGATCTACAAGAAAGGAGACAAGAGAAACGTCGAAAATTACCGAAATCATATCACTCAGTGCCTGCTCTAAAGTTTTCGAAATCATCATCAACGACGCATTATTCGCTAGCTGCAGAAATTACATTTCTCCTGACCAACACGGTTTTTATCGCAAGAGAGCAGTTTCAACAAATCTAGCTCCGTTCATTTCTTTATGTCTTCGGAGTATGGAAGCTGGAGCGCAAGTGGACGTTGTATATACAGATCTCAAGGCTGCATTCGACCGGGTTGACCACTCCATACTGCTAGCTAAACTTGAAAAACTCGGTGTATCCTCGGGTTTAACTCGTTGGTTCCAGTCCTATCTGACCAATCGGGAACTTTGTGTTAGAATCGGATCAGAGCAATCGGACTATTTTACAAACAGCTCCGGTGTTCCTCAAAGATAGCAACTTGGCACCATTGCTATTCTCGATTTTTGTGAATGAGGCCAGACTGATCCTCCCAACTGGTTGCCGATCGTTCTACGCGGATGATGTGAAGATCTATGTGATTGTTCGTAGCTTCGCCGATTGCTTGCGGCTTCAGCACCTAATCGATACTTTCGAAGAGTGGTGCTCAAGAAACTATCTCACGTTGAATGTACAAAAATGTAATATTATCTCATTTCATCGCAAGCTGAAACCAGTGGCATTCAACTATACGATAAATCACCAACTTCTGCAACGTGTGAACAATGTTCGTGACCTAGGAATCACACTGGACTGCGCCTTAACATTCATGCTTCATTACTCGGGCATCGTTGCGAAAGCTAACAGGCAACTCGGGCTCATTTTCAAGATCGCTGACGAGTTTCGCGATCCTGCCTGTCTAAAATGCGATCGATCTTGGAATTCAGCTCGGTAGTATGGTGCCCGTATCAAGCAGTTTGGATAGCGAGGATTGAATCTGTTCAAAGGAAATTTGTTCGGTATGCCCCTCGTCACCTTCCTTGGAATGACCCTGTGAACCTTCCGCCGTACGAAGATCGTTGTCAACTCCTGGGTCTTGAAACACTAGAACATAGGCGGACGATTAGTCAGACCGTGTTCGCAGCGAAAGTACTTATTGGTGATATCGACTTTCCAGGAATCTTGGCTGAATTCGAAATCTACGCACCCGAACGAGTTCTTCGGCCGAGGAGTTTCCTGCATCTTGGGCC